GCCGAGGAGCCCGGCCCCGCCGCAAGGAAGACCCCGGCGGTGGCGGBGCCGAAGGCTTCGGAAGCCTCGGACAGCGACTCGCTGGAGGCCGCCCCGCTCGTGTGCAAGTCGGCGAGCGCCCGGGATCTCACRGCAGCCGCGGAGCCTCTGCGGCCGCCGGCGCCGGCGCTGCACAAGTCGCTCAGTCTCGGAGGGGCCTSTGACCGGGCTCGGCCGCCGGCCGTAGGGGACGGGGCACCGGTGCCAGCGCCGCAGCTGCCAGAGTGCACCGTCCCCAGGCAGCCCGGCTCGTGGCGCCGCGGCCGCCGGCGCGTCACCTATGCGCCTGTCAAGAGCGTCAGCGTAGACGGGGCGCCGCGGACGGGGCGGGTGCGCGTGGCCGTGCGCAGGACCCCGCCGGTGCCCCCCACGCGCCACCAGAGCCTGGCACCCGCCAGGGACACCCAGGACGGGGCTGCGATTCCCAGCGCCCCTGCGGCCGCCCGGGAGCCGCTGCTGCTCCGGGAGGGGATCCCGAGCGCGGAGGGAAGAGCGTCCGGCCCCGCGCCGCACAGAGCCTCCCTGCGCGGCCTCAGCCTCGCCCTCCGCATCTTCCGCTGCCCCCGAGCCCGCAGGGTAGCGGAGCAGGGGGGCCCGCGAGGAGGAGGAGGAGGAGGAGGAGAGGACCAGGAGGAAGGCACGGGCAGCGCGGTGCAGAGCAGCAGCACAGCGCAAAGCAGCAGCGTGGTGCCAAGTCTCAGCACGGTGCAGGACCATGCAGGGGACACCCATGGGACACCCGCTGCAGAGCCTGGCTCTGCCCAGGACCGTGTGGGCAGCACCCAGCGGCTGCTGGAGGACAGGCCCTCGCCGTCCTCCACTGCCCCAGGCCCTGTTAGCAGCTGGACCAGGGCAGACGGGTCCCGCGAAGCCGCCAGCACTGATCCAAATGATGCTTCCGTGCCCAAAGCGGACGCTGCGGAGGAGCCCGAGGCCGCAGTTCACTCTGGAGAAGCAGCACCGGGAAAAGGATCCTTGTTAAGGCAGGAGGCGGTTGCAAGCCAGGAGGATGGAGGGGTCCCGCCAGCGGAGAGCACGGCCACCTGTGGAACCCCAGCAGAGCTCCATCCTGGGAAAACGGAGGCAGATTCCGGCATCAGAACAGACCCTGGGGAAAAGGCGTCTCCAAAAGGGGCCGGGGCAATGCCGAGGGAGGCYGTGTGTCCCTGGGAGAGCCGTGACACCGAGGACACGTCGGCGAAACTGCGCGGGAAGGGGGGTGGCAGCGAGAGTAGGAGCATCGAGGTCTGTCCCTGGGAAGCTGAGGGCGGCAGCAAAGCTGAGATCTGTCCCTGGGAGGCAGTGGAGGCTGCGCCCGAGGCAGAGAGGCCAGAACGGGACAGGACCAAGGTTTCCAAGTGGGTCAAGATCATCCGACCGAAATCGCTGGGGTTGCTGAGGGCGCAGGAGAGCGGGAGCAGCGGGGCCGCGTCCCTGCGGCGCCGGGGCAGCGCCGGCGTGGAGGCTGCCGCCAGCCCCGAGCCTCCCACGGCCCCAACAGAGACCGGCCCCCGCAGAGCCTCCGCTGCCTCCGCAGAGAGGCAGGGCCCAAGTCGGGGCGCAGAGGAGCCCGAGCCCGGCAGCAGGGCCGAAATCTGCCCCTGGGAGGCGAGCGAGGCCCCGACGCAGAGAGAGGAGAGGAAGGGCGAAGAAAAGGAGAAAACGCCAGCCGAGAGGCGCTTCACGCGCCAGGCGGCCCTGGCCAGCCCGGCCCGCTCCATGGAGAGCGGCAGCGGCGAGCGGGCGGCCACAGGTCCCCGGGAGAGCCCCGGCACGGGGCAGCCCCCCGGGACCCCCTGTGCTGGGACCCCCGCTCTGCCCGAAGCATCCAGAGTGCCTGCAAGGGCGTCACGGAGCTCGGAGAAGGCCGATATCTGCCCCTGGGAGACGCAGGGTAGCGGAGGCGACATCCAAGCTGAAATCTGCCCCTGGGAGAGCCCAGACGTGGCACAGCTTGCTGTAAAGCCCCATGCCGGGAGCCCAGGTCTGCCCAAAGCAGCCAAGTCAACCTCAAGGACATTGCYGAGCTCAGAGAAGGCCGAAATCTGCCCCTGGGAGTCGCAGGAGAGCGGAGGCAGCAGCAGAGCCGACATCTGCCCCTGGGAGGTGGCGGCAGCCCCTTCGGATCAAGGCAAAGCCAAGCGGGTCCCTGGGGGCCCCTCCAAAGGGGACAAGCGCTTCACGCGCCAGGCGGCCCTGGCCAGCCCGGCCCGCTCCATGGAGAGGGGCAGCAGCGGTGAGCGGGCAGCCGCGGGTCCCCGGGAGAGCCCCGGCACGGGGCAGCCCCCCGGGACCCCCGCTCTGCCCAGAGCATCCTCGGCAACAGCTCAGAGCGCTGAGGTCTGCCCCTGGGAGACGCAGGAGCGCGAAGGTGGCACCAAAGCTGAAATCTGCCCCTGGGAGACGGCTGAGCCTCCGCCAGTCGGGAAGAGACTAAAGGAGGCTCGAGGGGGTCCGAGCACAGGCAGCAGGAGCACAAGCCCCCGGCAGAGCCTCTCCAGGCAGGCTGGAAGGGTTGCATCCAAGGAGGAGAGCGTCAGCGGGGTGCACGAGTCCATGCAGCCCCACGCGAGCGGCACTTCCAGGAAATCAGAGAGCACAGGGAGCATAAAGGCCGAGGTRTGTCCTTGGGAGAGCCCGGACGTGGAGGAGCCACCCGGAAAGCGCCGCACTGGGAGCCCAGGTCTGCCCAAAGCATCCTCAAGGAAAGCAGAGGGCTCGGAGAGCCTTCGGGCWGACGTCTGTCCCTGGGAAGGCCTGGCTATCCCACGGGATGAGCCAGGCCAGGAGGCTCGGGGCGGGATGAGAGCYGCAGGCTCCAGCCGCGCTGCTGGCACCTTGGCACAACAGGAGCCTGGGAGCAGTCTCCGGGAATCCGTCTGTCCTTGGGAGAGCCAGGGCGCAGAGGAGCCCTCCCTAGAAACAGCGACGGGGAGAAGCCCCTGCGGGAGCACGGAAAGCAGCAGATCCGACGTGTGCCCCTGGGAAGCAGCGGAGCCCCGCGCCGCGGAGACGGAAAGCGCAACCCCGGGCGCGTGGCCGCCGGGAGCAGGGCGAGCGCTGCCCAGCCCGCACGGAGCGCCGGCCGCTGCAGCCAGCACCGGGCACAGGCCGCTGCGCCGCATCCTGCCGAGCGGCCCCGGCGGTGCCCGCGCGGCCGACGTCTGTCCCTGGGGAGCAGGAGCGGCTCCCGCAGCCCCTGGGCAGCCCAGYGGAGCCCCGGCAGCGGCTCCGCGGGAGGCGGAGGGCATGGAGCCCATCCCGAGACGGCCCGGGCAGGATGGAGGCGGGGAGAGCCCCACGGACAGGGGCAGTGCGGCACCAACCACCCCGGACATCTGCCCATGGGACCACGAGTAGGGAAAGAGCTCCGGCCAAAATCACTTCGAGTCCTGGCTTCTGTCTCTGSCTTGTGGTGACACATCGGAGGCGAAGGCAGCTGAGAACACCGGCCCCGGAGCACCGAGCAGGGGAGCTCCCGTGCAGGGAACGTCGTCCTCAGCAGCTTCATCCACAGCTAAGCCCGACTAGCAGGTAGCCGGGCACCATCCTGCCCCGAGCAGCACAGCCGCCCGCAAGGCCACCGAGGCCGAGCGGCCTCACGCCCAACCGCCACCAGCAATCACTGCTCTGAGCTCCCTGCTCCGCTGACGGTGAAATTGCCCCCGTTTCCCTCCCGCTCCGCTCTGAACACTGTGCCACCACCCTGAACACCAAGGGACTTGGGTCTCGCTTGGGTTTATCGCTGCTCTGCCTGCCTTGGGATAGCAGGTCCTTATGGGACCAGAACATCCTTTGAGGACAGGGACTCAGTTTGTCCCACTGTCCTTCTGTCATTTACTTCTACTGTCCTTAGGAATTGCTGTTGCTGTGATCTGCTTCAGYGCCGAATATCAAACAAGACCATCCATTTGTGTAAAAAAGTGTACATACAGAGAATAAAGAGTATTATCTATAGCATGCACACTTATTGGCTGATTCACGGGGTGCAGGTAAGGTAAATATGGCTGAGGAAGTGGTACCACGGTAAGCACCAACAGGAACAAAAGTGGGKGAGTTGCAGAGATCTGAATACGGGCAAAGGAGATGGAGATCTGTGTGCTGATAGACTGAAAGAAAAGCCCACTTTCCCAGGAATGCTGCCATTCCATAAGCAGCAGCCACTTTTCATGAAGAGCCAGAAGAACTTTTATAGATATTGGTTGTGAATATGGATGGATATTGGTTCCATACCTGCTAGCACGTGGCCTTAGTCACGCCGGAGTCAAGGGAGGCAGCTCCTTGCCCAGCCCACATATGCTGGAAGCGACAGTGCAGACAGAAGGCTCAATATAGAAGGTTCTTTCTTGAAGGGCAGACAGATTGTGACGTCCCTCTGGTTTCCAAAAAGATGAAAGGGATTCCACTGCTGGCTCCTCTTCTAACAGAGCGTAAAGATGGTATTTTGTCCTTTCAAGAGGACATCATTCACTAGAAACCCTGAGCAACTCCGCAAGTATAAGGAGTCATCAGTCTTTCTGCATGGTCTATAAAATCTCTTTCAAGAGGGAAGAAAAAAATGGACTTGACTATTTTCCAAAACCAGGGTAAACTAAAAAGGCCAGGSTGAAAAAGGAATGCTTTGTTATTTGATAACTAGTGAATATTTGCTCTGTAAATAGAAGTAAACTGAGCTTATCTGAGCAAAAACAGAGTGCACTGTCTTACCGCCAGCCATGGAAAAAGGTAAAAGCAGACTCTGAGTAAGCACTTTTTGGACTCCTACAGGCTGAAACATCAGGGAACATGATGTGAATGTCATCATGTCCACAGGATGGTGCCATCCACTCACCAGCAACATCCTGTTCGCGTACACAGGAGCATCTGCAACAAAAACACCCATGACCTAAGAGAAACGCTGCCTTTCAAGCAGACATTAATTGACACAGAGACCTTAGGAGTCTATTTTATTAATTTTTCAGTGCTGTTCTTCAGTCCTTTCAGGAAGCTAGCCATTAACAAACATCCACAGTCCAACTGCAGGGTTGTCTGTACCATTGCATCTGCACAGGCTCTGGAATTTCCTATTTGATTTCTTCGTACTCTTGTGAGGGTTTCAAAGTTGGGCCAGGAATCATCACGGTCTGAAAGAGCAAGACATGGAATTAGCATTGACACAGATCTGAGGAGCTGTAACAGGAAATTTTCATGTATTATACAGCAAGGGAAAGAGTGAGCAGGGAGTTCTGGCAATGTCAAAGCCTTGCACAGGAAGATGGCCAGATGATAGCAGCATGGGAAAGAAAAGGGATGACATCTCTGCTACCAATACTAGGACCCTAGTATTTTATTACGACCCTAGGATTTTATTACGTCTTCCAGGTTATTGTAAACCAAGTATATTCCACGTTTTCCAGGTGATTACAACACACAACAGCCAAGGTGAGAGCGGTTAGGGGCTGACGACTCCATGTTAACAAGCAGGTTCCTCACAGAGGAMGCTACCACTGTATTTGCCCATATTTGGTTTTGTCCAGAATTAACCAGGGACCTTTGTTTCACAGTCCACATCCCACCAGAGCAGAGATCCCTTCCTGGCAGCATTACCTTGACAATGGGGTCCTTTGGAGGAGCCCACGCCGGAACGATCTTGCCGTGCATCCTCCACGTGCCATATACGTTGACCAGGTGCCTCTCAAAGACAACATACTCCAAAACATCCTTGGGCACCTGCTCCCCACCATACATCAGCCGCCCAAACCGGTCGTAGATGGCCAACATCTGCAAAAAGGGACAAGAAAGGAGCTGGGCTGAAGGCAGGCAGGAGTTGCAAGGGGCACAAAGGCACGTACCTGTCGAGTGTGCATCCGCACTGTCACCTGGCCGTACAGGTTGCCTTCATTCACCATGCTGTCACATCGGATCTGAACCACCCTGGGAGGTTCCAGCGACTCTATGAAGCTCCACCGGATGGTTTTATACCTGTTCCCACGGACCATCTCCTAGAAAGGAAAAAAAAACAGCTGCAAATTAGAGGGTTGCATTGAATGAAGAGCAAACTACTGCCTGTAATGAAGTATTTATTCGTTAGCTATTTCTCAGACTTGGGCATTGCTTCCCCACTTTAACATCCAGGTAAATATTTACCGAGTAGCAGCGCTCTGTCACCAAGGAGTGAAGTTTCTGCTTGTTAAAACTGCGAGAGAAACACACCCAGTTACTCAAATACACACATCAGAAAGAGGCTTAGTCACAAAGATGTCCAGAAGGTACACGATCCAGTGGCAAGACAGAAAAGGCAAAATTCTCAGTTGTTAGAGCAAAAAAAAAAAAAAAAAGTAAATGCAAAAAAGCTGACAAGACCTTAGGAAGAGATACGACAATATCCTTGGGAAGCCAGTTATGACTCAAACATTTCATTAATGTTTGGAACGTAAAGCAAGGTGCAGTTTTGAAACCTGTTCTATTATTGCAGAGCGGAGGAAGTCAGTGAGGCAACAGAGCCCATCCAGACTCCCTGCAGTGCAATTTGGAACAGCACCAACCACTCACCCCTCTGCTGATAACAGAGGGGGCAAAAAGCTTGTCCCCTTTCCAAGACAGGACAAGGTGGGTGTCCAAAATCTTGCCTTTCATTATCAAAGGCAAGAAGGTGCTGACCAAATCTCTAACGCTCTCCACTGAAGAGGAGATAACAGGGTAAGATCACGTCAGAGACGGTCAGAAATACAAAACAAACCAACACACAACAGCAGCACGCAGGCAAAGAGAACCAGCTACCGCACAACCACATCAGGCAGACAGCAGGTCTTACTTTGCCAGGGAATTGTGAGCTTCAGTGAATATCTCCTGGGCCTTCTCTGGAAAGGTTTTAGTGCTGAAATTCGGATCATGGTTTTTTAACTTCCGCAGGCTGAAAAGACAAGAGAAACTCTACAGTAAGCAGGAACTAACTGAAAGCTCCTCACACATTCCAGATGAGCAYGATAACCTCAGGCAGCGCAAGCCTAGCTTCTACCAGGAAGCTGCTGTGAATTGGAGACCCCTCACTAAAACAAGCTCTAGGCATTCTTAAGACAAAAACCCTGCAGAGTGGTCTGCAACAAGGGCACGCTGCTAGGACCACCACCTTGCATTCCTTTTCATCCCAGAAATTCCCAGTTAAGGGATACAGCAGCAGCAATGAAAGAACCAGGTAGAAAGCAAAGYCACGACCTGCAAGGCCAAACTCAGTGTAACTTCTGCTCCAGAGGGGCCTGGCTAACTAAAAGGCGAGTACTTACGCCAGCTGGGACGCAGCGCTTTGCTTCAACTTCTCCATCTTTTGCTTCAGCCCATCTTTAGACAGAGAGGTCAAGCGAGCGTCACCTTCAGGAGGGACGTACGGGTCAATAATATCAGCTGTGTGAGAGGACAAGAAAGGTCAGAATGAGACACTAAAATGGCAAAAGGCTACAAATTGAAAGCATTAAGCAGACAACCCCGTCCCCTCTGCGGGCTGGAGAACCACAATTCCTTCTCAAAAACTTTGGTACAATGAAACACAAGAATGAAGCTAATAACTAATGGCAGACAACTGTCATTAACCTGGATTAAACTATACACTCCCCTCTTCTATACAGCCCCAAGGGATGGGAATAAGACACACACACACGACCTCCCTGGCTATTCCTGCTTCCTRGGTACCAAGGAGCCAACAGCCTCGCCCATTTCTGGGGTTCAACAGGGCAGCTGTTGTCCCTCACCAGACACACGGCAGGGTAAGTCAGGCCACTGCAGTCAGAGAGGCTGGTGACAAAGTGACATTTCTTCAGCTAAAAGCTCCACGCTTCTGCCTTGCATTATTTCTGTCCACGAGAAGAGACGAGGGCAAGCTYTCTGTCACCTGTGCAGGCCAAATAGAAGGACCGTTCCATGCGCTCCTCGGGAGCTGCCATCATTGAAGCTYGGAATCTCTTCTCCCTCTCTTTAATGGACTGCTCTACGCTCCAGTGGGGGACAGACGCCTTCCGCTTTGTCCTCATGGGGACAACAAGGCAGGTCGGAGCCGCTCTGGCAGGACAAAGTAAGGATTCCATGCTCTAAAGAGAAAAAACAACAAAGTCCTGGTGCTCGCCCAACATCCTTTCACATCTACGGAAGGCAGAGCAGGGCCCTGCTGGAAATACACCCAGCACCAGGCCCGGGCAGGCTGCGCGGGAGCCTGTTTGGGGATAAATCCCCCCTATTTCCTGCTTGTGGGAATGTGTTTGGGGAKAAAGCCCCCTTATTTCCTGCTTGCTGGAGCTGGCGTTGTGCCTGCTCCCACCTCAGCTCCCCTTCCCGGGATTCTCTCCACGTCCTCCCACAGCTCTGCAGCCCTTCGCTACCCACCCCACAGCCCCTCCCCAGAGCCCCTCACCTCACAGCAGCCCCCAGAGCCCCTTCACCTCCGCCCCGCACACTCCTAACCCCACAATATGCTCCCTATTTCTCCACCCCCCAGTCCCTCACCGCTCAGCACCCCTAGCCCCCTAGAACGCCCTATACCCCCCCACCCCGCATCCCGCAGCACCCCTCGGCTCSCCGGCCCTGCAGCCCGCGCCGCTCCGCACCCGCAGGCCCAAGCGGCCCAGACCCGCCACCATGGAGGCCGCCATCTTCGCGCCGCGCAGCCCGCCGGGACAGGGGGCGGGGCCCCAGGCGTGCGGAGGCGTGGTCAGGCGATGGGCGTGGCCTGTGGAAGGGGCGCGGCTTGGCGAAGGGGCGGGGCCAGCCGGGAGCCTGCGCCGCGGCGGCGAGTGGAAAATTCCAGCGGCTGCGGCGGGGGGGAGGGGGGAGGAGGCGCCTCCCCCCGGGCGGGGCTGCGGGAAAGGGGGGGGCAAGGCGCCATAGGGGGAGCCCCCCCGCAATGCGCCGCCCGTGGGGCCCGGGACCCCAGTGGCACCCCCTTCCATGCRCCATGCACGGCCTGAGGGGTCCTGAGCACAATGGGGGATCCCTCCCCCCGTGCACCCAGGGGTGCCCTGTGCACCAAGCCAAGGGCACCCCCAAATGCACCGTGAYGGGGTGGGGAGGGCGGGCACCCCGCTGCATGTGCCCTGTGTCCYCACGTCCCCTGCGTCGCTCCCGGAGCCTCGGGAGCCCTGCGCCGCGCCAGCCGCCAGAGAGCAACAGCGCGGTGCCGAGCCCCGCGCTCCCGCCGGCCTCCCACCGGGCCTCCCGCGGCCGCGGCCACTGCTGTAACGACGTGCRCCAGGTCTCGGACGCGCTCGGTGCWCCGCGAGCCCGGGGGCYGGTGTTGGCGGCCCTCGGAGCGCGTTGGACGTGCTGGCTGCCGCACTCGCCGGCACAGCCGCCCGCGGCTCCTCCTTGCTGCCCGTGGGATTTGCTTGGAAGGGACGTTTCCAGTGCGGATGGTGGGAATTGCATCAGCATCCTCAGGGCGCTGCAACCTATGGGGGAGAGCGCCAACCCTCCCAGCCACATCCTGGTGGGAAACCTGATTTTCCCTGCGGGACAACAGGTCCAAAGCCCCAGGGTGGCCGCAGTTATCCCGAGCAGCCCACTGGCAGCCCCAGCACTTTCCCACGGCAGTGGAGCCGCCGGCCCGGTACGTCCGGCTGCACTCGCCTAGCTAGGAATGCYGGACCATCCGGCTCCAGCCCAGAGGGGCCCAGGAAGCAACCTGGCGCAAGGAGGGACGTGGAGCACCATGGGAATCCCATGCACGGAGCCCGCGGAGGCTGGTGCTGAGCACGGACCAAGAGGCGCCGGCATCACCGTGCTCCTGGATGCCASAGATTCCTGCCCTAAGCCGCTATCCTGGCCTGCGCGGCTGGATTAGCTGGTGTCTCCGGCTGCTCCCGCTCCTGGCAGGAATRGCAAAACCTCAGGCATGAGGGAAGAGCAAAGCGAAGCTCAGCGAGAGTTTCCCTTTGACTCTCCCCATCTCGCTCTCTGAAGTGGAGCCCGGCAGCACTCGGAGCTTTTCCTTCTCTTGCTCCCTACGCTGCCTCTGGAGGGGTGCAACGCTTTGCCCTCCTCTTTCCCATTTACAGCCGTCATTAGGAATTTCTAACCTTGCTGCTGGCAATTGTGACAAAACTGCCCCCCGGCATCATCCACCCGGGATATCGTTGCCCATGGGGCAGCGCAGAACACACCACGTTTTGGGGGAGATTCCTTCCTTGGCAGCTTTCCCAAGTGCGGGACGTGCAGGAAATGCCCAGTCCGCATGGCACACGTAACCCTGCCCATGTCAGCCCTGGCTGCAAAAAGTCATCAATAAAAAAGTGCTTGGCAGAAGAAAAAACTAACCCAAAGCACCAGGGCCAACAGCAAAGGAGCTGGGTGAATATTTGCACAGACGGGCACAGGTTCGGGCTGCAGCGGGTGCCACCCAGCGCAGGGTGACCCAACAGGGACCACATAGATGGGACCAAACYCGGGCTGGGTTTGGGGAGGGTCCTGCCAGGGGCTCCCTGCCTTGGAGATCCAGGAGAAACTCCTGCAACCCAACACAGCCCGGATCCTCCAGCCCTGGTTGCACTTGCAACTGGGGCACCCCCGTGCATCCTCCCCCTCCTCCAGGAGCATTGCACCGGGAACCCCSCACCCCGTTGCATCGAACCGGGGCGCGCGCCTCCCGCACCCCCGGGGTGCACGGCAAAACGCGCATGCGCGCGAGGGGAGGCGCGCGTGCCGTGCCCCGCGCATGCGCCCCCCGCCCGTCCTCCTCCCCTGCTTACGCAACGCGCCGCCGTACG